ATGATAGTTCTAGAAACAAGAGAGCGTGAGAATTGTCACGTGATCTCGATGACGCAACAGTATATATCCTTAATGATGAAAATTGCTTACTTTAGGACCTGATTTCTCTGTGGAAACACCATACAAAGAAAAATGGTTTTAGAAATCAGGTTGAGCGAATAAAATAAACATATCATCGCATTGTGATTCCCACTGACATAAAATTTTTAACTTTTTGGACGGGCAATGTAGTTATAAAATGTAACTTGAACCGAAACAAGTAACTCCAATGAGTTTAATAGCAGTTTGAAAAATCATCAGACCGCTGCGAAGCAGTGTAAAGAAAACCTAGTGTAATTTCGACTTTTTTTGTTACGAATAATAAACAAACACTTCTTAAATACAAAAAAGCCTATCTTTTTTGAATCTATTAAAAATTCACAACCCCTTCTCCCCTCTCAATAAAAAGTCCTACAAACGGCATTGTATTTTATTTATTTACTGTCTAAGAAATTACGAATACCTAGAATAAGTCACTTTTTGATTGAACTAATTACAAAAAATATAAACAATACCTTACTTCAGATACATGTGTTGTATTTTCTGCCGACATATCGATTTTTTCTTTATTCGGGATATTTAATCTAGCACATCTAAAGAGAATAAATAATTCTTTTCAAACGAGAATGCCCCCCGGTAGCACAGCGGTATGTCTGCGGACTTACAACGCTAGAATCCGGGTTTCGATACCCGTGGTGGGCAGAGCACAGATAGCCCATTGTGTAGCTTTGTGCTTAACTTCAAAAACAAACAAATCAAACGAGAATTGCATGCGCGTAGTATGGTTTCTCATAGCAAAGGTAAAAGCTGTTGTTATGAAAACAATATTAAGTTATAAAGAAGAGAACTATACAAAGGTATTTCGGCAATTCGACATTATGGAAACATGTTAACATGTTCTGAAAACCTTGAATGGATTCTCTGCCTATCTCTCAGTTTTAGTATTCACCACATAAACAATGTTTTTGTCATTGCATAGTTCCGATCTTCCTTGTTTTGTAAGTGGACAGTCTTTTTTTTTTTTGGTACATATATTAGTTTTTGAAAACACATGTTGCGTCAGCAGTCACATGACACTGTGACGCAACGGTTCTAGAACTATCATGTACTTTGTCGAATGTTCAAGTTCTTACTAGAAATTGGTTACGCTGGTATATATATATAGGAAGGGACAACGTGACGCGGTAAGGTATAGACAGTGAGTAATTGAA